TTCTTCAAAAGAAGTCCCAAATTATTAGAATAATTTTTCTATGTTCTCTTCTTATTGTATGCTTATTCTAATTTGATGATTGTAACTTTGTATCTTATATTCGTACATTTCTTGAAAAGTGCTCTAGCATTAGTGAATATTATTTAATTCTATTTTCAGAAATGTTTGTTTGCCTCATTTGTAACTTAGTAATAGCTTGAAGATATCTGAAGTGTTTTGAGAAGCTATAGCGTTTAGTTCTGATGAACTATAAGGTACTATAAATAATGCCTTGGCTGGCAGCATTATAAGAATGTTTTTTAATGAAAAATCCCTTTCTTTAGGTTAGCCAATAAACAAGATTGTGAAGGAGCATTGGATGAATTGGATATTGTGGAAAAACTTGATTTAGAAGCATTAGTTAACCAGCAACGTTGTCCTACAATGGTGGAGACATGTTCAGCAAGTGTAGCTAAAAATTCAAAGAGAAAATTGGATCCAGCTATTCACAATGGCTATAAGTATGTAATTTTCTAAAATAATGTTGTTAGTGTTGAGGATGTAGTATAGAAAACTCAACTCTCTCTTTTTTCATTTTAATGTTTTCAGGTGGCTTGTGAATTCAATAATTCGTGATTTTCCTGCTTTGAATGCTCGAGTACTTACTGATATGGCAGAACAAAAAAAAGTGGAAGATGCAGAAAGAAGAGAACGATTACTGAGATATGTACGAAGTCAACAAATGGATGATACATCTCTGAATGATACTGGTGAACATGTACCTGATGATTTAGTTCATGATCCCTTTCGTCCTATCACTGAAGTTGTGGTAAGAAATTTAAACTTTGTGTAATTCGGGTTATATTATATTAAAATGAAGATCAAAAGTAAATTGATGTTGACCAGTGGCGTAGCATAAGAGGAGATGAGGTAGATAGTGTATTCGTTGATAAAAATATGAGGAAAAGATAAATAGAATCTGGCCCATGTATTGTACATATTCTTATTCAATTTTTAATTCGTGATAAAAGTGGAAGCTGAAGTTAATGTGCAAAATCAGCACGCTGCCTGCAAGTAAAGAGAAGTGATCTCAAAATGCCTTATGAGTGCGAAGGGATAATGCTGTTAGGTTTGAAACTTTTCATTTAATTCCTTTTCTTAGAGAATAACTGTTAAATGTTTCTTCAAATAAAAATTTAAATGTTACTATTAGGTAGCCAGTTGATCTAAAATTTCTTTCTTGATGCTAATGAGTTTGATGATCTGCCTTCCAGGGTAATAACTCGAAGATCATGGTTTGCAATGGTAATCTCTCCAAATCAAATTCTCAAAACAAGCCAGAAGAAACAGTTGAATGTTCAAATCATGGTGCTGGAGATAGTAAAGAAGACCGTCCATTATCGGGAACTACCAACTTAATTAAAGGTATTTAAATATATTGGTAGTATGTGTAATGTTCTATATTATTCAAAACAATTTTCTTGACAGTTGTCCTGCCTTCCCCCTTTCCTGGTACAATAAGTAGTTGGAAGTTGAAGCTCACAGTGAGCACTGGTAACATAATTCCAAATACATCTTTGTTGATGTGAAACAAGTCATTTGCAGTTGCAGATGAGAACCCCTCCTCCCTCTCATCTATCTCTGTCCCCTCCCCCCTCCCCCTCCCTTTCCTCATCCTTCTTTTTCTCCCTCTCTTGTTCTCTCACACACTTGCTGTTTCGCTTATTTTTCCCCTTCAGAAAAGTGAAAGGAAATGCTGAGACAGGTCCAGCTCCACAGGACTTGAAGTGGAGATGTCTCCCAATGACAACTACTTTGACTGATTTTCCAGTGGTTTGCATTGCTTGAAAAAACTAGTGGCTTGTATTGTGACTTAATATTCCCACTGTACCTGCATTCCCCTCAGCCATTTTTCAAGGAATGAGGCATGAGTAATATTATTGATGTCCGAAGTATATCCTAAGTTTTATTTAACAGTTGCATAGCAATGCCATTTTGGTACCCAGACAACACTGAAGAGGTAAAGGGGAGAGTGTCAATGATGGATCTCAGGTTAAAGTACAAAATCAATAATTTAAAAATTTGAAACATCCTTTGAAAAAAAATTTAGAAAACTTTATCACCATACTTAAAGTACACTAAGGAAACGTAATATTCCTTCAAATTCACAGGACTTTAAGTTTGGCCACATTGATTGAGGAATATCAGTTTTGGAGAACAGTTTAGGCTCTAGTGTTGAACATGGGCACACACTCACACAGTTATTTGGTTTCAACAGAAACCTCACTATCTCTCTCTATTTTTAGAATCATATATATAAGATATATATATATATATAGAATCAAGGTTTATCCACTTTTTTCTCACAAAAAATCCCCATTTTCTGCTGCTGCTTTACAATATGTTCTTTTTACTGTGTAATTATGTAGTAAACAATAAAGTAAAATCTAAGCTGGTGTCCATCTTTGAGCAACCCCTGCCCATTGATATATAACTGTTAATAAATATTTTATTTGAAAACTGGTGGGTATTTGATATAGTTCTCTCTTACATGGAAAATATCCTTCAAAGTTGTTAGAATTTGTTGTGAAGTGGTATAAAAATGTTATTTCAGAACAATTGGAACTTGAAAAGACTCAAAATAAGAAGACTAATTTCTTCCGGCGTGCAAATAAAACTGGTCCTGCCCCTCTAATGAGTTCCACATCTGAGAAATCATCAGCCAGTGATCCAGAATCTGGTGGTCAAGACTCTGGATTTGCAAGTCCACCCAAGCAACTGTTGCCCCCTTTGCAATTGCCGAAATACAGTCAGTCAGTAGACCCTGCCCCTTGGACTCGTGTTCCTCTTAATGTGTCTTCAAGGACAGAGTTAAGTCAAGGTAAGTTAAATGTTGATGTTCTCTTTCTTTCTTTCTTTCTTTCTTTCTTGCTTTCTTTCTTGCTTTCTTTCTTGCTTGCTTTCTTCCTTTCTTTCTTTCTTTCTTTCTTTCTTTCTTTCTCTCTTTTTTTCTTGCTTTCTTTCTTTCTTTCTTTCTCTCTTTCTTTCTTTCTTTCTTTCTCTCTTTCTCTCTTTCTTTCTTTCTTTCTTTCTCTCTTTCTTTCTTTCTTTCTCTCTCTCTTTCTTTCTTTCTTTCTTGCTTTCTTTCTTCCTTTCTTTCTTTCTTTCTCTCTTTCTTTCTTTCTCTCTCTCTTTCTTTCTTTCTTGCTTTCTTTCTTGCTTTCTTTCTTGCTTTCTTTCTTGCTTTCTTTCTTCCTTTCTTTCTTTCTCTCTTTCTCTCTTTCTTTCTTTCTTTCTCTCTCTCTCTCTTTCTCTCTCTCTTTCTTCATCTCTCCCCCTCTCTCCCTCCTTCTCCCACCCCTCCCCCTCTCTCCCTCCTTCTCCCACCCCTCCCCCTCTCTCC